TAACCCACAAAAACAAAAGCTCTGTGGGACCTCAGTAATTTTTAAGAGTGCAAAGGAATTCCAAAGTAAAAATGTTTTGAGAACCACTATTATATGGGAAAGCTCCTTATATAAGATATTGGATTCGCTTTGTAATCTATATCCAGCCATTTTTTCAACCTTATATCCCATATAAATTATGGCCAGACCATTTTTGCTTTTTCTAAAATAACATTACTCTATTAGATGTAGCTAACAGTTGGTATCGCATCCAAATCCCATCAGGACCTACACTGTAGGGCAACATGGCCCAACGTCCTGTGGCCAGAGGACTTCCTCTCGTGGCAGAGCCAGATCTCCCAACTCCCACAGGAGGCCAGAGTACTAGGAATTCACACTTTCTGGAAGCAGTGCTCATCCAAAAAAATGACAGCATTTGGTGTACAAATGCCCCAGGTCCTTCCCTTCTCAGGTGGGATAATTCTGAGGCTTATAATTCTACATTGACTTCCAGAGTTATCCAGTGGAATTGAGTTCCAATTACTCACACTGGAAAAGTGACTTTAAAATGCACCTTATGTCTGAGGATCTAATGTAAAATATGGTGACTACAGTTAACACTGTTGTGTGGTTGAGATTTGCTAGGAGAGTGAAACTTTAATGTTCTCAACAAAAAAATTTTAAAAATAAAAGATAAATGTGAGGTGATGAGTCGGTTAGTTAACTAGATGAGGAGAATCCTTTTACAACGTACATATATTTTGAATCACTACAATGTACACTTTAAACAACGTACAACTTTATATGTCAATTATACCTTTATACAATAAAACTGAAATTTAAAACTTTTAAAAAAATAAAAAATAAAAATAAAAACATTACTCAAGTAACATTTTTTTCAAATGAACTTTGATATTTAGTAAGTTTCTTTGGGCATTTTCTTTTTTTCATAATGCTTTCCTTTATCTGATGACATTTGTTCAAATCTTTCCTTTTCTTTTAAACTCAGATTGAACCCTGTGAATATTTTATTTCTGCTTCCCTGAGTCACATAACAACATTTATTTATGTTTACAGAATAATACCTAATCCACAGTCTGTGCTTTTGAATCTGGTGTGGTCTTACAAATCTGGACCATTCTCAAATAGAATTTTGAATGATCTTATATAGTATCCAACTGTTATTGATGCTAATGAAAGAATATTTATGGAAAGACAAGGCAGGTAACTTTTGAATTCAAATTATGCATCCTCATCATTAGAAGAACCTTATTGAGCAGTGTCTCCATTTTACATATACAGAAAGTAAAACCCATTAAAATCTACCTTGATTTAGATATTATGTTTTTGGTAAAGAAGAATCCCGATAATAAGCACAATTAAATATAATCTTAAATTTTCCCTGTCATTTAAAAAAAATTTTTTCAGATGTTAATCTTTTTTTTTTTTTTTAATATGGGAAGGCAAGTTAATCTCATTTGCAATTCTCTATCATGCTCTTCGGATCATTTTATTTTGTTGTTCATCAACTTTCATTGGTTCTTTATTGCAGATTGAATTAAGTCCAACTACCTAGCTTATTAAGAATTTTATATAAAAGTATAGTATGAAATGTGATTTGTTTTGTGGTTCACTAGGGACTGTTAGGTCTAGCAGAAGTTATGATTTTATTGAAGTTTAAATGTAAAATTTTATTTTACAAGGCAGAAAGAATTATGTACTTCTAAGGTTTATTATCAGGAGAAATAGTCTGTAGACAACAAATACCCCTTTGGTGTTCAACTGAAAAACAGCTTTGAACAACTTAGTAAATTTGTCATCAGTGAAAATACCAACCTACTTTTCCAGCCTTATGTTCCATTATTCTACGTGTACCATTAGTTTCAAACTTTTCCCCCTAAATGTACCCTTTATGAAGAGTTACTATTTTACAGTATTCATTGTGCTTTTTAGTGGTTCCATTAAGCAGTTGTCCTTTTCCTTATACCCGCTCTTTCCTCAACTCAGATTATCCCTTCTGCACCCCCTCTTAATATTATAGATTCAATGTTCT